GTTAATCTGTTTGAAGACCCTCTACATCCATCTCTCCCCAATCTTAAGTCACAAACCAGTGAAATTAGAAAACTCAAGTTTCTTGAATACAGAACAAAATCTTACTATGTTTGTGTTGCAAGCATGCACCTTCTCCATAAATATTTGAACAAGGGTATCTTTATGGAGTCCATAAATGAGGGAAGGGGCCTAGTTTGCTTTTTGGTTGTATCTTAAGTTATATTCTGTAAACACAGAACCATGTTATTTTCATATCAGACAAATAGAAAACTTGGCCCAAATGAAGTCCATCTACATCTAGAATCTCAAAGAACAGAGTGCATATGTGAGTGTACTAGGATATGTTAGTCCTCTCAAGGTTATGGACAGAGATAGGCCCAAGGCAAGGCAAGGACCAGACTTAGAAGAAGGCAAAACCCAGAAGGGAGCAGAGCTCAGGACAGAATGAGCATCCAAAATCAGGTGCAAACAGAAGTGATGACACTCCACTCAGTCAGTACCCAGTAAGAAAAGTGAGGGCTAAGGACTAGGCCTTGGGACATGTACAAATTTAGGAGGTTAAGGGAGTAAGAGAGGATGTGGCCTGAGAGAAAGCAGAGCCAGAACAGTGTCATTTTAAGAAAAGTTTGAGAGAAGATTTCAAGCACAGAGAAGGTCAGCAAACTCAGATGCTACAAACGAGAAAAAGGAATGAGACGAAATCATTGGGTTTGACCCTTAGAAGTCATTGTTAACTTTAAAAACTTTCCATAACAACCACTGAATAATATGTATCAAGAGCCAGAAAAAAATATATATACTCTTTGCTCCAATAATTTGGGAATTATTGCCAAAGAAAATAATCCTAAACTTGGAAAAGTTATCTGCATAAAGATGTTTGTTACAGAGTTATTTAGAAGGGAAGAGAATGAAAATAGCATAAATGCTCAACAAATAAAGTGCTGAACTAAACTAAGTTATGTTCATTTGGTGATATATTAAATGGTCATTTTTAAAGTATAAAGTCAACTTTTAAATATTATTTCCAACTAAAAAGAGTAAGATTCCCTTAAAGAAATGACTGATTACAGGTCTTCAACAGAGGAAGTACAAGTTGAGTCTGGAATATTTTGTGTAAAAAAACAAATAAGTGCTTAAAGATTGATAGGACCAAGTCAAAAGGGCACAGAAGCCTTCTGAAAGGGCTCCTATTGGACAAATTTGGGGCAATTTGAGCATCAAAAAGAATATTGATAGTAATGGATTATATCACATTGAATTTTTTAATAAAGAATTTTCGAGACCATGGGAAGAGAGAGAAAGAAAGAAGAAGAGGAAGAGAACTCTTTACGGAAGAATTCCAGATAATAAACACAGAAGAAACAACAGAATTAGAGTCACCATTTTGCAATCCCCAGTGTAGTAACAAATGCAAGCATAGGTCATCATGGAAGCTAAAACCACTGGGTAAAACATTGTTGGGAGCAAATAGTTAAAAGGTCTTAGGAAATCACACGAGAATTTACTTTAACTTATAGAAAGGTCTGATGAACTCTAATCAAGTGATCAAGCCTAGCACCACCAATAAAGAGACAAATGTGCACTATTGGCCTCCCAGTGTGACACAACATCCCCTATGTGGTGATCTTTTTAAAACTGAAAATTTTTTTCAACAAAGAAGAAGGGATAGAGCAAATGTGGCAAAATGTTAAAAAAGAGCGAATCTGGGAGAAGGGTATGCAAGATTTCCACTATACTTTCTTTGAGCTTTTCTGTAGGTTTGAAATTTTTCAAAAAAGGAGTTGGAAGAAAATAAAACACAACACAAATAGGGAAATTATGCTGTGTTAAGTAAAAAATAAGAACATAAAATTGTGTATAGCACAATTATAGCTCTATAAAATAAGAACAAGAGAAATGTTTATTCATTTCAACATTTGTTAAGCTCCTGCCACATGACAGGCTCTGCACTAAATGATGGGAACACTGTTCCCCTTAGAAACCTGATTTTACGGTGTCATGCTTAACATACTTAACATGCAAGACTTGGGATTTGGCCAATTCCCCCCAAGTCTCAGAGGATTCTTGCTGTGACAGCCTCACCTCTGTATCCTTGGTTCCTAGCAAGCTGCCTGACCCCATGAGGCGCTCAACAGTGCCTGCTTCCAGGATTCCACACTGGTGAGGGAGGAAACTGCTTTAAGGGATAATTTAAAATAAGATTAAGTATTACAGCATTTTAATTATCATTTAAACCCCACCTTTATGATATCCTCCCCCCTCCTCATCTAACTTCATTTCCTACTCTTCCCTGCTATGAATCCTCCCCTTCTTTACGGCATTCTGTTTCCCATCCCAATGCCTTCGCTCAGCTCATGCTGACCTCCCAGCTTGGAATGACCTTTCATTCCTTTGCTTCACTTGTCCAAATCCTACCCAGCTCAGTCTATTTTTACAATATGCACATGTTTTTTTCCCCTATTATAGTTCATGAAGCCAGTCAGAATATCAGATATTTCAGCATTTCCTAGAGCCCTGCTAATCAGTGTGGTGGGGGAACCAGCAGCATCTGTCCCAGCTGGGAGCCTACCCAGCTACACCTACAGAATCAGAAACTGCGATTGAACAAGTTCCCTGGGAGATTCATGTTCACACTAAAGTTTGAGAGGCACTGTCCTATTACACTAACTAGAATACACATAAAGCAGAAACTCAAATATTTTGAGACCTGAGTCCCTGGGAATCCTAGGGGATTCTCAGTTTTGCCATCCCATCATTCTCTACACTCCCAGCTTTGAACCCCGTTCCCTTTGGGACCACGGGCGGTTCCTTGGTCCCTCAGAAGGCAGATATGAGCCTAAGAGTGAGGGAGTCACTGAGGCAGTGCCCAGAGGGTGATGGTGAGATGAAACTTCTACCTGCCCAGCAGAGCCAAAAGCAAATGTTGGCGTCTGCTTCAGGGCTACAACATTTCTGGGGAGAAATTGGCTTTACTTCTAAGACAAAAACGCCCCTCTCTCCAGCATCCGAGCCTCAAGATAAGAGGTAGGTGACAGACAGCAGTGGAACTGTTTCTAGACTTGATTTATTGACTTGTCTGTTTCTAGCCTGTCACTCATCTGATTGACAATGAAACCTGGGATGTGACACAAAGTGATTTGTGTGTGCGCGCTCGGTGGGCCTGCTCCACGCGGGCGCTCCCGTGGGTGAAAGGCATGTGGGCAGGGGCTGCTCGCTGTGTGGGAACGACACGGGAGAAGTGGGTACTCCAGGAAGTTGACTGTCTGTGACGGGAGAAGTGTCTGTCTGGCTTGGGAAGCAACGTGGGTTCGAGTAAGTGCGGTGCGAGCAGTTGGATGGGAGGAGGTAGGTGGGGCTCCGCGCGGGAGGGGGTCGTTACCGACACATCTTAGGAACAGCCCCCTTTCTCGCCCTCCCCAGGTTTTCCTCCGAGGACATTATTTCCCAGTTAGGGGGCCTTTGGGGACCGTTTGGGAGGAACCGAAGGTGCCCGAGGGCTCTCCTGGCGTGGCGCGCGCGCCGGCCAGGGCAAGGGGGACAGGTGCGCCCCCACAGGGGCACCGTGGCGACCCGCGAAGGATTCAACCTCAGTCCGGGGCATCGCCCCCTGCCCTGGGGTCGCCCGCTTCACTTCGGGGGAGTCCACACGGCTGGAAGCCCGCGCCCCTCCTCTCCGCGGGGCGGGGGGAGGTGGACCCCGTTAGGGAGCGGAACCCCGCCCCTCCCTTGTTACC